GTGCCAGGCACTGTGCCACACACGTTATATAATAAACATTCTCATTTAAACCTCGTGAAGCCCTACAAAACAATTCATAGCAATATCCCCAGTTTACAGATGAGAGAATCAAAGCAGAGAGAGGGGAAGTAAAGTGTTCACGGGCACAGGGTAGGAAGTGCTGGAGCTGGGATTTGCACCACTGCTATGCCATCTCCTCCCAAAAATCCGTCTTGTAGGAGCACCACAAGGGCTAAGTGTCTATGATGTGTCTAACGCATCACAGGCACTCTGCAAAGCGTCATCCCTCCTCCTCTCTCAGATTAAGCTGAGTTGGGAAGGAGAGAGCAGTGGGGTCAGGAAATGCACGTCCCAGCCTAGGGAGGCAACTACACAGCCCCTCCCTGGGCTGTGAGACACGGGGAAGTGACTCAGTTTCTCTGGGCTTCCATTTCCCCACCATAAAAGAGAAGGCTAAGACTAAAGAGGCCTGATGCTTCCTTCCAAAACCAGTTGTATGATTCTTCTTGGAAGGACCCATGAGTGGCTTCCTTCAAACCCAGTGATATCTAAGCACTCGGCTCCTAGGAGGCTGGAGGTGGCCCGGGTTTACTGCTGGGGCTACTCCCTCTGCAGAGAGGGGTCTCCCACCAAACCTCAGGGTAGCCCTGTAAGCCCACCAGCACCTAACCTTTCCTTTGTGGCACACGGCCCAAGGCGGCCTCGCTGACAGCCGGCACACAGACCTGGGGGGCCATGAACCAGTCCTCCAGGCCTGACACCCCCACCTGGTGCTTTTCCAGGAGAGTGGACACTCAGAAGGACCTTGCTCTAGGTCACTGCCCCGGTGCAGATGGCCACTTGGCCCAAGCTGTGAACCCTCTATAGAAAAAAAAAAAATGTAAATCTCACAAATATTTTTAAGCACAAATATGTTTTGAGCATTCATTCAAAGAAAGTTTGCTAAGAATTAAACCAGGTGCTCTGAGCAAGACATAGATTAAAAAAACACATGTTCCCTGCTAGGGAGAAGGGACAGACACAGATAATCCCACTACTGAGGCAGTAGTAAGTATGAACCAGAGAAGTACCAGTGGTCACGACAGCAGTTCCTCAAATCCGGGCAGCATTTCAGAGTTTCTAGAGAACATCATATAAGAGCTCACTTACCCTCAAAGCAGTGGTCGGGTGGGGCATATGTCATTATCCCTCTTATAGATGGAAAACCTGTAGCTCCAAGAGAGGCGGTGCCTCTCTGCTGGGCTGGGGCTTGCTCTCCAGCACAATGTGCTGTGGGAAGACTGGGGAAAACGTCCTGGCAAGTGGGATTCCAACGGGGCCTTGGAGAAAAGGCAGGACCTGGGCAGCACCTCTGTGCTCCTTGCAAGGAAGGTGCCCTGAAAGCTCGTGAGCACAGGCCGCACAAGCGCACCTGGCAAGCTACGTGGCCACCCTCCTGGTCCCTGAAAGTGAATGGTGACTTGGGACAAAAATAAGATCATATTTGGCTCATTGTAGCATATTAAGTGAAAAAAACAGAATCTAGTAATACATCTATAATGCAATTACCAACTTATGAAAATTATTTTAAATCCTTACCTGGATGGTGAGTGGAAAATGGACAAAATAAAATAGGGTGTTCATTTTGGGGGAGTGGGATTTGGGCAATTTTTCCTTTTTGAGTTTTTGGATTTCTGTTATTCCTGTCACTATGCTGTTTGTGGCAGTAAATATAGCCTAACAACAAATGAGGGGGGGAAAATATGTCCAGAGCCCCTGCTTTGTATTTTGGGCAAATCCTGACTGAAGTACAGAAATGACCTACCTATGCTACCTACGTACCTATGGGAAGACGTAAGGCGCTATATCAGATTCCAGAGGCAACAGGAACTGGGGCAGGTCCCAGGTGTGCGTGGGGAAGATGGGACACACTCACGGGTGGTAAATAGTATGGTGTTAGGTTTGAAACTTATAACTGTCAGGCTACCATAGTTACCTGGAATGCTGCAATAAGTTTATAACTAGTTCCCCTGCCTCCGTTTCTCCCTTTCAACAAAAATAAATTAGGTGTGTGACCTGTAAGATCTTCCTAAAACACAAATTAAAACATAGTGATCACCTTATTTTAACACTCCAATGTTTCTTAAGAATGTAAAATGGTAAAGGGAAAACGAGGAAGGAAAGATTTATAGATTAAGAAAGACTTAAGAGACATATCGACCAAACACTTCGGGAGAACCTTGTTTGGATCTTAATTCAAATAAATCAACTGCTGAAAAAAAGTGTAAGATAAAATTTGAACACACTGGATATTTGATAATATTAAAGAATTGTTGTTAAATTTTTAGATATGATTATAGTATTGGATTTCTAACCAAAAATTCCTTTATCTTTTAGAGATACGCAATGAAATGCTCACAGAAGAAATGACACCTTGTCTGAGATTTGCTTCAAAATAATCCCAAAAAGGAAGAAAAGCAGGGAGTTATAAATGAAACAAGATTGGCCCTGTGTTGGTAACTGTTAAAGAATAAGGATAGATACATTATATCATTATATGCTCCTATTTCCACCGTTTGAAAGTGGATTCTTGGGTGCCACAGTGTTTTCCAAGCAGGACCCAACTGAACCCCCCAAGCCTCTGCTCCAGCCTCAGGGAGTTCTAAGTACTTCTCCAGCATGCCACACTCTGGCATACACATGGTTCCCTCTGCGAGATGCCCTTCGTCCTCTAGTATCTGAGCACGAGGGCCAGATCACCTAGGTCCAAATGGCTGGGTGCCCCTGAGCAAGCTAGTTAACCTCTCTGTGCCTCTGTGCCTTTGTTACTTCACTCACTCACTCACTCACACACACACACACACACACACACATAAATACTAGATAATAATGCACCCACCTCACTGGTTATCTTAACTTGCTTGGAGCAGTTTCTGGTACATGATAAATGCTCAATAAACACTGGCTGCTATCAGTGTTTAGTTGCTGTTGCTGTTATTCTCCAACTGGCGAAATTTCACCCATTTTTCAAGACCCAACTTAGACACCACATCCTCTGAGACACCATTCCCACCACTGAGGGTCAACGTGTTCTTCCACGTCCCCAGAGCACTTTAAACCCTCTGCTACAGCACGTGGCACAAAGACTTACTGTAAGATTTATCAACAAGGTCGTTTGTTGTGGATGTCTGGGCTGACGCTTGGTTTGCCTGCATTTCCCCCACAGGAGGGGCGCCCCCAAGGGAAGGGCTGGGTCCAACTTGGCTTTGGGGTTCCAGGCATAGCTGAAGGTTTCGGGTTATATAACATATTCAACAAATGTGTCAAGTATTTGCCTGCCCAATGAGCAAAGGACTGGTTTATTTCCATCTAAGAATGAACAGTCTAGCAAAATGTTTCCTTCTCTTAGGTCTTAGCTATTAGCCAATTTAGATAAATTACCAGCAAAAAACTGAAATGCACACCTAGATTTTAATCTTCCAGCTTTCTCAGATAAAATCCCTCAGTTGATTCAAAATCTCTAAAACAAGGCTCCTAAAGCCATTGTCATCCTCAAGAGATTCCACAGCCTCCGTTTTATAGGTCCCCAGCCCGGCCACGGCCCGGCTATTAGGAACCACCTTGTCCTGTGCAGCCATCAGGGCTAATTGCAGGAAACCTAAACAGCGTTAAGTGTTCAAGCTGAGAGCATAAAGTTATTTTAAAAGAAGAAAGTGATGGCTGTCACCAGCCGGCCCTTGTTACCCACTTCAGATGGCTTTTTGGCAAGCAATTAACAAGGCTCCTACTTCCTCCACGCTCCCCAAAGAGCTGGCTTCGAAGGAACTAAAGATTCTCATCTCCACAGGCCAAGAGGCAGCAGGTCCTTCACTACCCCAGCAATTCCTTCACAGTCGCAGAGTGGCGGGATTCGGACAGGCCCCAGCCAGCGCCAGATCAGTGCTAACGCGGCCGCCAGGCACAGGCCTCCCGACTCGCTCTCCTCCTGCGCAGCCTTGGTCGGCGAATCCGACCTGAGGCTCGGCGAGTCCATCAGCTCCTTTGGGAGGGTGAATTTCCGGTGGTTCTCGTTTTAAAGAGCTCGTTACAGTAAGTCCATGGACCTGCCTAAAGAGAGAATTGGCTACAACTTTTTCTCTCCCTCATCTTTGTCCTCTAGCGGCGCTGTCCCTCCCGCGAGTATCCGCCTGCCTGTCTCAGAGCTGGCACACAGGTGTGCGCCCCCACTGCCCGCACGGTGGGAACCACGTCGTTTCTTCCTCTGGGGTAATCTCGTTCTCTCCTCTCTCCATCCTCCATCCTTCGCTCAGTGCCTCAGACGTAAAACGCACTCAGTAAATATCCGTCAAAGTGAGCTTTTTCTACCCAGGTTTTAGGGCTATGTCACGCACAAAGCTGGAGGCTTAAATGTTGGTACACGTGGGAAATATGGAAGAAATCATGGGGTTTAACCTAGAAGTTTTTCCCATAAATTCTCACAATCAAACTCACTTCTACCATGAAGATTGTTCCTGAGGCTACATCCGAAATAAATCATTACCAGAGAAAATCATTCCAGAGAAAATCCCAGGCCAGGTGAAGGGACCAGACCCAAAGTCACTAGACAGAAACAAGCTGCTGGGCCACATGTGGAAATCACCTCCCCCTTCACCGATGAGGACACAGCAGCCTGGGGCCACACAGAGGCCTGCGGTCAGATGCAGGGCTGGGACCCAGATCTCTGGGCTCTTCATCCAAACCTCGGTCTCCCCAGATTTTGCTCCACAACAGGGGGAGTGTGCTGAGTGGGGCCCGGCACGTAGGAGGAGCTCGATAACGTCACCTGAGCAAATGGAAGCCAAGCTTGGCAACGTTGGCCTCAACTCTGTGCTGAAGTCGGGCCTCAGTGGGCTGCGCTGCTTTGAAAGATCAAAAGCTGGTGGTGCCGGTAGCTGGAAGGGAAAGCCTCAGCCCCCGACCCCGACCATGACATGGTCAAGATCACGTGGTGTGGTGAAGGGTAGAACTGGAGCCAAGAAGACTGCAGTTTGGACCTGGCTCTGTCTTCTTCACTAGTGTGCCCCTGGGCAAGTTTGCAACAGGTCCCAGCCCACCTGTAAAACCGGGGTAATAATGACCGCCTCTTGAGAGGTGAGTGGTAAGCCACAGACAGTGGGCGCCCACAGTTATCCAGGACAGGAACGTTCTGGAGCCAAGAACGGGCCTATTCTCTCTCCTCTGCCTCATGTCAGCTGGTTTCTGAGTGTCTGGGACAGGGTTTGTAGCCCCTTCCTGACACAGGTGGGCACTTAGGAAGGTTTGAGGAATAAATGTATGAAAAATATAATAGTAAATGATGGGCTTTCTACAGAGGCAGCCACATTTTAAAATAAATCTCATTTGCACCCCATTCCACAAAGAAATGGCCTACCAAAAGACTAACTGCGCTGCGTGCCGTGCGGACGAAGGGGTCCCAAAGGTGGCCTCTCTGCTGCCACCACCAGCAGCTATGTCCTCCCTTGTCCCTACCCACCCACATGCAGAGAAGAGCCACAGAGAAAGGCAAAAGAGGAACTTACCAAGAAGAGCATTGTGGCCATTGTCATCTGGCAAGAACCTCTTGTCGACAGCGCACACCAGGAGATGATCTGGCAGGCTGGGGGACTTGGCCCCCACGAGGAGGAAGCCGGCAGGGACGTCGATGGGCTCGTTGGAGATGGAGACGAGGCGCAGGTCCTTCCCGGCCTGGCAGAACCCTAGGAAGGTAGACAGGGCTCGCACGCCGCCCAGGGCTTCCCGGAGCCAGGGGTTGCAGGGGCAAAGTCAGGAGCAACACTTACTTCTGGGTGTGGCTGGCCTCAAAATTAATTCGGAGAGCTAAAACTATAATCATGGTCATTCACGACCGACCACACGTTAATCATTTGTCTACTGGTGCCACCGTACAATACACATTCACGTGCAAATGAAGCTCAGCAGGAAAAAGGCTTAAGGCAAATGATGACAAATTATAATGTATAAAGATGAATTCATAAGGCACAGAGGGTAATTTGGTATTTTTTACACGCTGCATTTTACATGGATGAGAAATAGGCCAATGTCAAGAACAAGGGGTGAGAATCTGGTAACGGTGGTGTCCTCTATGCGGGGAACAGGAGGACAGGACATGGAGAAGGCTGAGAGCGCAGAGAGACTGTCACTCTATGCCCTTTCGAACCTTTTGTGTTTTAGCACTTTTAAGTATACTTCCTATTCAAAAAAATAAATTTCTACAAATATCTGGGGCCAAAGGAAGAAGAGGGAAACAGTTGAGATTTATTTGGATAAGCCCTTTCCAGGGTCTCGCTCCAGGGGAGGGTGTCCCAGCCCCATCTCCTGCGCTCCCTCCAGCTACAGACTGAGACCAAGACAGCAGGGTGTTCCTATCAACTTGGGGAAGGTAGGCCAGCTCCCTCAGGTCCAGGACAGGCACCCAGCAGATCCCCCAACTCCATGACCCAGGACCTTCCCAGCCCAGCGTGACCGCCGCCTTCTGACAAGCTGGAGGAAGACAGGCCTGTGGAGTCATAGTATCTACTGCATTTATTAGGAAATTCTGCGAAAATCACTGTAATGACCCCTGGAGAGTTCACTTCCTATCATTTAATTCAGTGGCCTTTTTAACACTCAGACACTAGAAGTCCTACCCCATGAAGAGCCACTGTACTGACTTCCCTTTGCCTGGTAGAGCAGCCCAGCAAGGGCTGAGTCCCTCCCTTGCAGGCCACTAGACTCAAGATCAAGTCCAGGCCTCCAGGGAGGGTACATGGGGCCTCCATAAACCTCCAAGCCCAGCCTCACCATGCCTCAGGCCCTTACCTAAAGTAACTGCTGGCAGTTCCCCAGATGGCTATAGTCTCCCCTTTCTAAGCCTTTGCACATGCTGTTCCCTCTGTCTGGGACTCCCCAGCTTCCCCCAGTGCCATTGCAGTCTCCCGGCTAACTCCAGCTAATACTCCAAAACCCAGATAAAGGACTGCCTCCTCCAGGAAGCCTTCCCAAACTCTCTACCTGAGCTAGGAGCCTGTCCTCTGCTCCCAGGCACCCCTGCTTGCCCCACCCCAGCACTCTTCACGTTGTGTGCAAAGTATCCGCTTCCCTACTTAGCTCCCCATCAAACTGGGAGCTCTCATACCATTTATTTCCATATTTCCAGAGCAGGGCTCAATACTTACTTTAGTTAATTACTGCTTTATAATAACTAGTTATTTTAAATAACTAACTAGTGCCACCCCCTGACGGGTACATCTGTCAGGACAGATGAACTTACTAACAGTCAGAGAGGCTGTTGGCCAGGGGTGGCAGGAGCAGGGACCACACCAGCCTGAACGCAGAGCACAAGCCCTCAGCATGGGACTAACCTGCCACCCATCCGGCTTCTCAACAGGAATAACATGACTGATTTCACAGGGTTAACGTGCATCTGCTTGTTCAACAGTAAAATGCTGATAAATGTGAGAGATTATTCCTCCTAATCAATTCTAAGTTAAATGCGCTGTGCAAGCAGGCCTGAGTAAGGAAAACATATTCTAGTTTTCAAACAACCAACACGGAAAAATGGATTTTTGTCTCCCAAGCCACTCATGCGTTGAGGCTGTCCAAGCAGTGGCAGAGGCTGGGACCCTGCCTTAGCATCTACGGCACGGTGTCTCCAGAGCTGCTGGTCCGGGTGGGCAAGCCGCAGCCCACAGGCACCGCTCACAGCTCAGGGACACAGGATGGGAAAAGAGGACCCCGGCAGCACACAGCCACAGGCCTGGGCGGTGCCCGGCGGCGGCCTGGCAGCCTCACCATCTGTGGTGCAGCATCCTTCAGGGGGAGGGTGCAGCTGGTAAGGATTTGGGAGACTGTTTGGCTCCAGCCCTCCTTCTCCTTCTTCTTCCTCTTCCTCATTGTCCACTCGGCTACCACCTAGAAGTGGGGAGGGAGAGCGATGAGCAAGGCCGTGCCGTCCAGCCCCTGGAGTTCCCGTGGGGGCCTTTCCTCCCACCCGGGTCCTCGCGCTCAGCAAGGCACAGCACTACGGGACTAATGCAGAACGAGTCCCACTCGGTTAACACGCGCTCAGCGAGTCCTAGCTAGCGAGTAACTAGTCCGTACAAACGCACCGTCAGCCAAGCATTCTCATCCTTCCTTACTGGAGGGAAAAGCTGAGGCCCACTCAGGATGGGTGACTTTCCCGGGGTCACATGGCAAACAGACTCCAGCCCGGGCCTGGCCTCCTGACTTCAAATTCAGGGTCACTTCTCTTCCACCCGCCACAGCTGCACGCATTCTAGGGGGTTAATACGCGTAGAAGTGGGTGATAACGACTGAGCACAATGCCTGTGCACAGTAAGCATTGCAAAAGCATTTGTGGGGGAGGTCTCAGGGTGTAACACGGAGACCATTTTACAAATAAGGAAACTGAGGCTCAGAGACATCCAGGGACTGGCCACAGCTCTTCAGCTACCTGCTAAGTAGCACAGCCTGCATGTTCCCAGCTGTGTCTCGTGCCCAAGCTGATGCTCTCGCCACTAAACTGCACTGCTGAGTTCAGGAGACAAAGTGTAAGTAGCACTAACTACCTTTACATAGCAAGGGAGCTGCTGAACTGTAAGTTACTCTTTCTCCCCGAGGGAAGAATGCACGCATCTATTACCAGAAATACAAACACACCCACATTTGTCTTACACAAATGTCTTACAGCTTTAGAAAACTTTTTTAAGTGAAATAATCTTTCAGGAGGAATGGCAAACATGGAACTGGTCATGGGAGCCCTGAGCTGACTGTATAAACCTGCCCTCCCTGGGCACGTGCTCTGTCGCTGCAGTGAAATGAGTTTCTTGTCGTCTCCCAGAGACCTGCAAGGCAGATGCTCACCCTGTACCCCAGGCGCTGTGCCCCAGCAGGGGAGCTGTCTAAGCATGACTGCGTGCTGGGTGCCCAACTGCTCTGAGCAGGGGCCTGCTACACGGCCCAGCACTGCTGGAGAAAGCAGATTCCAGAACTACTGAAGTTCAGTCCTGCCAACTTCTTTTAACTTAGGACATTTTGGGTAAAAGTCCTTTTCAACTTGTCTATCTTTAAATGTCATTTAATAAATAGCATACAGATGTCTTCAGGGAACAAGTTCATTATGAACATCCTTAAATGCACTGAGCTAGAATACAGTCCCTTCTGCATTTTTTGTTTCTGTCTCCTTTCAGTGCTGCTTTCTTTGTTATGTCTCAAACTCTCCTCTCTAGGTTCTAACACCCTCCTCTCTCCAGTGGGCTAAGTGGTTCTGGGTTCATGGTGAAATCACATGCAGTAGAAAGAGACTGGACAGGGAATCAGGGAACTCAAGGTTCAGTACTTGCGCCGGCTGCTGCCTATGTGGCCGCAGGAAAGTTCCGTAACCTCTCTGTGCATCTGTTCCTGCACCTTTAAAAAGAGGTGGTACATCCAGAAGAACTGTAAAGTCACTGGGGGTTGTGATACTCTATTTGGGGCAATATGGCTCTCGGAACGGCACAGCAAGTTCCCAATGTGATTTAAACAGTTCAGAGTACTGGGAACGGAACCTCACAGGGCTGCCACTGTAAAGCTGCCTGTGGGCCAAGAGGCCGAGGACACGGAGCATTTCCAGCAGGTGGGGATTGTGACTTTGGGAGGTCACAGCAGGAAGCGAAGGGAGGATCCCTGATATCTGGGTCTCCCTGGGCCTAGAGGACACAGACTTGGTAGGAAGACCGTAAAAAGATTACCCAAGGGAGGGGGCAGAATTCTTGAGCCTCCTTCCGAGGCTTTCTTCCTGCCATTAAATGCAGGCATGGCGTAGTTTTAGCAGAAGGTAAAAACAGGCGACCCAAGGCACCAGCAACGCAGCGCAGAGCCTGCCTGGGTGGCACAGAAAACTGTGAGATCTCCGCTCTCTCCTCTCGGAGCCAGGACTCCAGAGACTCAGAAGGGGAAGGCACAGATACCAACAATCAGAGTGGAAAAAGAAAATCCCAGAGAAATGAAACATGCAGCCCCCAAAGCCCAGGCCTTCAGAGCTGAGGGTGCACGCAAGAATGTCTGCACATTATTCTGCCAAAGCAACAAGAACAGGAATTCAGACTCTCAGAAAGAATGAAAGAGGAGGGTCTCGGGCCTCAGAAAGTCAGAGAAAGGGCCCCACATCCAGTCAGTGAGAAATCGGGATTAAAGGTCAAAGGTCTGCATCAGCCGTCCCTGGGCCTTTGATGGGGCTCAGCCCGAGCAGACTAAACCCGCGTGTTTACCCAGCCCCCCTGGCAGGATGAGAGCTGTAAAACGGCATTAGACAAAACCAACTGCGCTGGGAGCGGAGAGCCGTAATAATAAAACTCAGGAACCAGAGCCACTCGACTCCGTGCGGCATGAGGCTATGCATTTTAATGCTCGCATTCAATTTTGCTTTCTTTCCTGGAGAAGAAACTCCATGACATTCTGAGTGGGTGGGATTACAGGAATTTACCTGTGTCCCGTTTAATTGATAAACACTTATCCCCAATTGTTGGGTTGTTTTTTTTTTTTTTGTTTTTTTTTTAAGGAAAAAAAAAAAATCCACCATGTGTAAAAGGTTTTTCGCCTAGAAGGAGGTGGCAGGTAGGAACTCTAATTCAAAGAACAAAGGAAGAAGACCCCTGCTAAATCACCCTCACAAATACATAAAATGTTAACAGATCCAGGGGTGTTTAGTATACTAGCACCCTGGTCATAAAAATCATCTTTCATGTTATTGTCTGAGGAAGGCAAGAAATAAGATAAGAGACCCTGACAGACAGACAAAACAAGATACGGCCTAGACAAGCCCGTCTGCATCAAGTTTTACAATGCAGAAACAGGGGCTCGAGCTGAGTGCTTGCTTTATGGTGACATTTAGCAAACCAAAAAGAATCACTCCCTTCCCACCAACCCCCTAAGCCCCCTTGTTTGCCTGCACTAGAAAACCAAAATCTCAGGGGATTTCTGTTTGCTGGACAAATGGGAAAATCACAGAGCGGGCTCGTTCGGTTTTCAGACCAACGTGAAGGCTGAACAAGCCTGCTGACGGCTGGCAGGGAACCTTGCACACTCAACACCAAAGGAACGAAGAGTCTAAGCCTCAGAGCTGTCCCTGGAAAGTGCCACCACGTCCAGCAGCAGATAAGAGCATCCTGAGCATTCGGAAGGCTAGAGACAGCCTCCCAAAGAGAGGTGTGCTGGAGGCGGCCTATCAAGTCTTCAAACAGGAGGACACGATGATTAGGAATCCTCACAGGTCTTTCTACTTCTCCCTCTCCCCAGGCGGGCAGCCCGAGTCCACTCAGCCCCTCGTCTGCTTCCTTTTCGTCTCAGAGCCGCCAAAGCTAGGATGCAACTGCTGCTCAGTCACTCCTACTAAACTTCCAGCAAACCAGTCTTGCATCTTCCCAAATCATGGGATTCAATTACTTTGGCTTGTGGAGGTGAAAAAGCACTTTGCAGATTTTAAGGTACCATTCAAATGCACTAAATTATCATTGTTACTATTATTAATTTATCATTAGCAACAAAGCTTTTCAATACTATAAGAAGTTAAGGATGACCACAAAATACATATTCTACGAAAGTCTTTCAACTGGCCAAAAACACAGTCTATAAAAGGCTCTCCAGTTATTTCTCAACTCCCCACAATGTCACAGTAATGTTTTCTATGACAGAAAACATTCGCTTTCAAAGTGAATACCAGAGACTTACTGGTTTTCCTAATTCATGGTTTTGCCCACAATCTGGTTTCTCTCAGGCTCAGATACAGGTCTTTAGGGGAGACATCTGCAAGGTTAATTTCGTAAGGACATTTTAAACAGTTACACAGGAATGCCTCCCTGCTAGAATAAGGAACTATCAGATATCGCACAAGCTCAACACAAAGCCCCTCGACGACAAGCACCTCCGTGACTCGTTTTTCTTTATGTTCTTCTACTCACTCCAGCCTACCATCCCCACACACGCAAGATCATCCCAGCACGAGCCCTGGCACACTGAATGCTTTCTTGTTTAATTTTAGTTGACTAATTTTTATGTTAAACCATAGCCTCTTTTCACTTCAGTAGCTAAGTCTGCAGATAACTTCAGTGAAAAGACATAAACTTAAAAATGAACTTCCATAACAGTAGCTGTCTCATACTATGGATTGCCAAGGGGTAACTTTTGACATGACAATACACGGCTATAAAAAACACAACCATTTTATTCTCTGGATAATTAAGTAAACCCTAAAGTGAGTCCCCATGCCTGAAGATAACTTGTTTATCGTTGGCACATGTGCAATTCATAAGGGTTTGCTCTTGGTTTTTAGAAGTTCCTGGAGGGCCCTTATACCTGCTATTACGAAGAGAAACTGCCTTGACTACTTGGCAAAGACATGGCTGTGAATCACAGGACAGAGAAAATACATATAGCTGAGGGCCAAAAGCATGTTAAAATTTCTTGCTTATCCAAGTGAAACTGTCAAACTTTCTAATAAGAGTACATGTAACAATCAGTTCAGAGCAATTTGCCCTCTTCCTTTCTCCTGCTAATTTTATCCCTTGCAACTTTATGGCTGAAACATATTTTAATTTTAGCCAAGTAAGAACCTATGTGCAACTTTCTTTTTCTAGAATTCTTTTCTGCTAGACTCGTTTTCTACACACAAGAGCAGAGTTTCAAGTTCTGCTGCTCACATTAAACTGCACACAATACAAGAAATACACACAGGGAAGAAATGCGCATCTCCTACCTTCCAGAGAGGAAAGGTGCTGCTCGGCTTCCAGGTACAGCTGGGAGAAGATGGGCCTGGGCACCAGGTTGTTGGAGCGCAGGGAGGCCTCGATCGAGTTGTGCAAGACCTCTTCAAACCGAGTTGTCTTCAGCTGTCCAGCGTAAGAATTGCCCATCTTCAGAAAGGAGGATGGAGTCTTCTTTCTAAAATGGCATTTCAGTTGGGGTGGAAAAGTCTGACTCCACGCACGAAGCTCAAAGTAGAAGCAAAAACAGCTGCAAGGAGGAAGGGCCGTGCAGCCTCCGCTCAGCAAAGACCGGGAGAGGGCGGCTGTCCTCAGCTGCAGCTACTGCTGGGCAATTACAGGAAGTTATATAAGTAACAGCTTTCTCCAATTTAGCATCAGCTAAACACCTTTCAGCATATTGCACTAGAAACTGCCTCTTAGCCTTCCCCAGGTTTTTCCCTCCCCAGAGATATGCCCTGCCCCTGAGGGATCCCAGACAAATGACGTTTTGTTTTCCATGGCCTGCAGACCAATGGCCCTTCGACACTTCATGTATGTGATGGCGACTGAGCAACCCACCACAGCCGTCCCCAGATTTTAGGATCACAGGAGTCGGCCTCCCTCACCTTCCCAGGAGCTAAGCTGGCAGATTTTTCATCACTGCCTTTTCTGGTAAAAGGCTATTAGCATTCTTCCTTTAAAATAATTTTTAGTCCACTATACAAGTACTGCAGAATTACATCCAGAACACCTGGAAACGTGGAAATTACGGAAGAGGATGGGAAAGCAAGAGGACGATCACCGATACATCTATCCCCTAAGATAACCACTGTGATTTTTTTTCCAGAGCAGCTTAGTTGGTATATAATTCACATACCACACCACTGACAGTATACAACTCAGTGGTCTTCAGTATGTTCACAGTGTTGTGCAATCTTCGTACAGTCAATCTTGGAACATTTTCATCACCCCCAAAAGAAACCCATAGCCATCACTCCCCACGGCTGGAGGCAACGACTAATTTGTTTTCTGTCTCTATTATCTATTCTGGACATTCCATGTAAATAGAATCATTCATTCTAAGGTCTTTGGTGGCAGGCACTTTTGACTTAGCACAATGTTTCCAAGATTCACCTGTGTTGTAGTATGAGTCAATACTTCACTCTACGGTACTATTTTGATGTATTCTCTATGGACTTTCTTTATAGACTTCATTCTCTCCAGAACTTGGGGGCAGAAGGGATGGGAGATTAAAGTCACAGAATTAGGGTCGTTCTATAATACATCTTCTTTTCACTTGACATGAGCATTTCACTCAACCCTCTTACAAATGCTTTTAAAACAATTTTAATGGCTGCATAATATTCCACTGAATGAAAATGCTAATATTCGCTCAGACGTTTCTCTGATCAGACATGTGGTTAGATTTCTATCTTTGGTCCTTCCCAAGAACAGGCATTTAAATGGATATACATCCCTAATGTTTTCTGTTTATTTTCCATTTCATTAAATTCAGCTCTTTGTTCATCTCTTTCTCTTTCTATTTCCTTTTGGTTTAATTTGTTTAATTTGGTTTAATACATTTTCCAAACTTTTTAAACTAATTACTTTATTATCATCTTTATTTTTCATCTTCTTTACCAATGAAGACACTGAAGGCTACTCATTGTTTTCTGGGTGCCTCTTTTGCTATGGTACATAGATTTGGTATAAAGGGTTCTCCTTTTCATTCCTTTCTAGACAGTTTACAATCTCTCTTTTGATTCTTTCTTTTTGTTGTTTTTTTTTTTTTGAGACAGAGTCTCACTGTGTTGCCCGGGCTAGAGTGCCATGGCGTCATCCTAGCTCACAGCAACCTCAAACTCCTGGGCTCAAGCGATCCTCCTGCCTCAGCCTCCCGAGTAGCTGGGACTACAGGCATGCGCCACCATGCCCGGCTAATATTTTCTATATATTTTTAGTTGTCCAATTAATTTCTTTCTATTTTTAGTAGAGACGGGGTCTCGCTCTTGCTCAGGCTGGTTTCGAACTCCTGAGCTCAAACAATCCGCCCGCCTCGGCCTCCCAGAGAGCTAGGATTACAGGCGTGAGCCACCGCGCCCGGCCTGATTCTTTCTTTTTGTTTTTTAATACAGAGTCTCGTTCTGTCACCTGGGTAGAGTGCAGTGGTGTCATCATAGCTCACTGCAACCTCAAACTGCTGGGCTCAAGCGATCCTCCTGCCTCAGCCTCCTGAGTAGCTGGGACTATAGGCACGTGCCACCATGCCCAGCTAATTTTTCTATTTTTAGTGGAGATGGGGTCTCGCTTTTGCTCAGGCTGGTTGATTCTCTCTTTGATCCAATAATTATCTTGGAGTGTGTGTTTAATTCTAAATAGTCAAGGCTTGGGCAAGGGATGGGGTCAGCCTCACAGCATTTATTTCTAACTTTTATTGGTTTATAATCAAGGCTGTGGTCTTTAGAAACTCTACTTTTTAAACTTGTTACGGGTTTCTTTTTGCCATATACCTGCTGGATTTTTATAGATATGAGAAAAGAGGATCTCTTCAAGGGATGAAAGGAGATAGATTAGATTATTCAATTATTCTATGTCCTTGTGTGTTTCTTGTCTACTATACTGTTAATTTTTAAAGTAGCATTTAACTTACAAAATAGCACAAGCTGCCCACACTGAAAGAACCATGGGACAGTGATTTCCTGCCTTCATCTGCAGCGACCGCACACACACTGGTGAGCGACTGGCCTCGCCAGCCAGGCAAAATCTCGCACATCAGTTCGACTCAAGGCATATGTAATAAATTCTCCTCGTCCTTGTTCTGTTGGTGGCAGAGCACGTTCAAGATGTTACCCTTGGCGCCCTCAGGAGCTCTGGTTTCCCTCCTGAAGGTATGCTGCGGTCATGTTGACTTTTCTGCCCCTATTGTAAGGAAGGCTCAGCCTTTCCTCTTCCAACTAAAAGTAAATGGAAACCATTAAACACTTCCTGCTTGTGGCAGTAACTCCTGACCACGGGGCCCCTTGGTCAGCCTCTGCTTACAGCCAGGGGAAATGAGCTGTGGGGAGGATTGCTCCAGTAATTAGCCCCAACAAAAAGAAAGTGCTCCTGAAAGAGAAAGGGCAGCGCGGAGTCAGAGAGGCCTCGGGGTCCTCTCACCTGCCTTTCCCCCCTCCAGCCTGTTGCACACTTCAACACACAACTGAGCCGTTAGCGGTCACATCGGGGTACACGAGCGTCACTCTCGGGTGGTGTATTTACAGCCACCGCCAATTAATAACATCACATCTGCCTCCCATTTCTACAGCACCTCTGTCTGAAGAGCTTCGGGCTCACAAGAACAGCTTTAAGTCGGGCCCATTTTACATAGAGCCCTGCAGGATCATGCCCTGTGACTGAGAGAACATGGTGGGGACATCCAGACCCTTCCCAAGGTCCCATTCAGCTCACCGGACGGCTGATCGGTGCCCAGAGGGCTCCAGCGGTGAAGGCACATCAGCGCCTAATGCCGACGGCCCAGTAAAGAGGAAGAAGCAAGACTAATATCCACTGTCCCGCCACCGTGTGCACGGCGCTGGGCGTGTGCCCCACTTAACATGTGTGGCAGCCGTGGAGCAGTGTAATGAAGCCCATTTTATAGACGATAAATGCAAATGTTAGATATTCATAACCTAAAGGAATTCTTGTTGAAAGAAAAGAAACAGGGCGAGGGGGGGAAGGAAGGCGGAGTGGGGCAGAAGCAAAAAAGACCACGGCAAAGAAGAGTTTCTGCACTCAAAAAAATGGAAATTTCATTTTATAGCCCTAAGCAAACATCAGAGTTTTAATTCTGTAAGTGAATAGTGCCAGAGGAAATAGATACAATTCTGTACCTAATGACACATGTGAACTCACACCAGTAAGTATACGAGGTCTGTCCAGAAAGTGTCCAGCCACATAATATGAATATGTATATTAACAATGGCTGGACACTTTCTAGAGAGACCTCATATACTGATAAATAAGGACAAGGAAGATGCACTAAAAACAGTATTAAAAGCTGTGGCCCTTTTTGTTATTCCCTATTGCACCACATCCAAATAGCATAGGAACTTTCTAGACACCACGGCAGTGCTCTATCTTAGAGGCAGGGCCTGGCCTCAAAGCCACACCTGCTAGGTGAGGAAGGTTTGGGACAGGCAGGCCTGCAGTGGAGGCACACCTGGAGCTCTCTGGGCTCTGGGTGGTGAGAAACCAGCACTTGACCAGTGGGGAACTAAAGACCCAGAGAAGAGCCTAGTTCAGGGTCAAACATCAAAGCTCAAACCCTCCCAAATGCCTCATGGAACAAACACAGCCAACGCCCAGGAAAGGCCTCCTTGTGCTGGTCCTTCTTTCCCTGCCCTGGCCCTGACCACTCACTCCCTGCCTGTGGCCTCACTGCTGGACTCCTGCTGCAGCTATTCAAGTGTGCAAACTGCTTTCAGGACTCTTTCCATACCCTGACATGCGTGTCCACTGCCTGCACTGCAAGGCCCGAACTAGCTCCCGCGCCCTCCCCCCACACTGATGCATGACGTGCTTCAACTGCGGAATTTGAGCAGTGCCCATCAGAGCAGAGACAACCGCAAACCACAACCTTCACCTTCATGCACAAAAGCCTGGCAGTAGCAGACGGGAAAGAGCATGTGCGACCCCGAGCAAAGTGCTTTCTGCTAGGTCTCAGTGTTCTCATCTATGAAATGGGTGACTTAGAAGGGCTGATTGGTCTTTACAGATGGTAAAAGAGGCCGTGTATGAAAGTGCCTCCCATGTACCCAGTAGTCAGTGCACGATCATTAATTTCTGGCTAAATATGAACATTCACATGAAAAGACAAGAATTTCGTATCATCAATGACAAGTGACAAAAAGTACTGCCGTCCATAAGCGCTACAACTTAAGAAGGTGGAAAACTCAGTGAGAACTTGGGTGGCCGATGGGGCTGGTACTTGAAATGGGCCAGTAGGATATTCTGGCAAAAATCTGAGAATAGCATTTGAAAAAGGCACAGGAGAGCACGAAGGCATGAAGACTCCAAGGGAACAGATACACTCTAGAAGAAGAAATAAGTTCATTTGTAAATGGTTTGCAAGAATAGAATAACAAAAACAAACCTAACGGTAAAAATTAGACGTTGTTTTTAATAGCTGA